CACCAAATAAATAATTTCACTTCGACGATGTGGCTCGTGTAGTAGAAGCAGCAGAATGCCGCTGTACAATTGGCTGTCGGGCTCCAGCAACATCAGCAGCAACTATGCTACTCTGCTGCTGCTGTCGCCGTACAATCGACTTCTGCGGTGCAATCTGCTGCTGCTGCTGGTGTTTTCGTTGTATATCCCGCTGCTACATACCTGCAGCTGCAACACAAGCCACCTAGTCTATGTGAAGCGGTTTAGTGTGATGTCGACGTGTTGTTTATGATTATTATGATCATGGTAGTGATGAGTATGTTACAGGTGATGACAAAGGTGATGATCGTGGTGGTGATGCTAGTCGGTGATGGGTGTGGTGAAGTATGTATGTATGTTGAACTTCTTTCGCACCGTACATAGACAACCGTGCTAATCGGAGGTGCGGGGGAAGGACAACAAACTAAACACAAAAATCAGTTGTCAAGTAATGAGTTTTCAATCTAGATTAAAAAGTGCATAAGCTCCAGTGGTTTCCTAATATCAGATGGAGGAGCATTCCAGACGACCATGAAGGGTAAAATCTATCCAAATCAAAATTTAAGGGTAATGTTGTTGACCATGATGGTGGTGGGTAATGAAACCGGCGGTAGTGATTACAGTGGTTATGACAGAGATTCAAGCTATGATGTTGTTGATTGTGATATTGTTGATTGTGGAGATGACGATGACTGGTAACATTTACCATCTTGCTACATTCCCACTTCTACTTTGTTGTTTCACCCTCGTGGTCTACGGAGATCGGGTGGAAAGAATGCGACGACGTTATCGAGGACTTGAATGTAGTCATGCTACCTTGATGAGTAGTGTTTAAAAAGTAGCATGGAAAAACTGTCATTCAACAACATTTCCCGAATGCCCACTCGCAAAGGTACTGCAAAAAATAAATTGCAAAAAAGCTTAATATATTCTTGAAATTTGACACGTTTGTGTAAATCTGACAGTAACGGAAAACAAATGATGCAGCCTACATTGAGCGACAGTGTAAGTGACAGATGTTAGCTATTGTATTTGTTCATGACCATTCTTATAATAAAAAAAATGCAGTGCCTGTGGGAACATTATAACATTATGATACGGGGTAAAAAATATAATATATACATTCGGTATTTGGCAAACAGTAGGCGAGTTTACACTGTTTTTTAATGCAAACATTTATTATAGATGTATCGTAGGAACGAGATACCACAGCAATCTATCACTAGCCGTATATTTAATTAACTGCTACACAAGCGGTTATGTAGCCTGACTTGGCAATCGACAGCCATGCGGTGAAGCTGCTATTCATCTGCGGTGCATCGTATATCGTATATTCATCTGCGGTGCAGCTGAATATACGATCCATCATCACGAACCACTAGCCAAAGTAGATAAACAACTAACATTCTCCTATTCTGAAATATTGCTTTTAATGCAACTCAAAGCAATTATATTCCATTGCAAGTGTTTTATTAAATTTATATGGGTACTGCATTCCTGTGATGTGCCGATGCCAAATGACACATTCTTTGAGGCAAACCACAATAAAACTATGGCGATCTGCACGAGTTAAAAGTCCAGAGCATCGTGCTGTAATATGCAGCATCAGATCACATACTGAGCTTGTGTATTATGTAACAATCTTGCCGATTTCAATTATTAGTATTTTTTAAAATAAAAATTTAAGCTGCCGAAGCAAAGGATTGCAACACTGCTGTTGGCCTTTGGAATTAAGTCCACTGCCTTGAGTGAGAAAGGTCATCAGATTCCCTGTCATGCACCATGGCCTCATTACATTGTAGGCCTTCTGTTTACGCAAGTCTTTTTGCACTGCATGAATGATCATAAAAACAATGAATAATAAAGTGTTTGTGATTGATAACAAAGAGGGAAAGACTCTAAGTGTTTCACAACCGATCATAAAAGCCGAGGAATGCCAATTTCAAGTTGGTTTAAAACTGCGCAACTTTCACAGATGTCTCCATCAGAAGTTACTCCAAAATTATTTGCATAAACATTGTTTATGTAAACAAATAAACCAGTATATAACAATGTATATTTCATTGGTCGTCTATGACCTGTCAACCACTTAAATTTGATCGGAGTGAAAATTGCAGACTACTGCAAATCTACTCATCATTGGAAACAAGACGTTATAAACATTTATTTTTAACCGTGTGAAAAACAATGCATTTAAAAAGTAATTCTGTGTTACACGATTAATGAAAGTAATTCCGTATGAAAGTGAAACGTTGAAAACTTGCAATTAAAGAAAATATTTAGCTATGAAGTACATTTAAATACGATATTGCTGTTAAGAACCTTTCAAGTACAACCACAATCAATTTTAGTGAATATACTGTACTTATCAAATGCTGCACTTGCGAAAATCAAATGACATGTAAAAATTGGCGAATAGCAGTCTTGCTACTCTGACCAACTCGTACGTATGTCTGAGTAATGAAGAACAGAAGCCAATCAATTACCAATTTCAGTCTATAGACGTGACAAAGACAGAAATAAATTGACCAGTTAAACAAGCCACGTTTGGGTCAGAGGACAGATTATTTCTTCACAAGTTAGTTGGCCCATAAACAGACATAGTCTTCATAATAAAGGTTTTTGGGTTAGATCGCGTTTATTTATAAATGTGTCGTAACCCTCCACCACCCGACACGGTCAATGAGCAAAATAAGTGTCACGTTGACAAAAGACAAATAATTCACTACTTCAGCCCACCGGTGTGTTGAAGAGTTAATCCACATTTACAGTTTGAGTACGACGTTTCGCTGGTAAATACATCCAGCATCATCAAGCAATTCGCCAGAATGGTAAAGCCCTCGCTTGCTCCCGGTTTTATATAGAGCAGCAGGGTGACGTCATCACTTAACTCATATCAGGTGCAGTGATTAGAGGCGGAGGGTATTGTAATTATATAATCGATTAGTAATCAGTCATTGGTTATGATTAGTAATGAGTTGTAGATTAGTAATTCTTTAAATCAAAATGTAATGTGTATTATTTAATAATACGCTTCCAGGCCGCACTAAGCCGGTAGCTGTCAGAGCGATTAAAGTTATTCTTGTTCCTCTCAATTTCAATGGATTCTCTAATTAGTCTTTGCCAGTGATAATTAGTTTTACACACCACTGCAACATTGTCAAAATCAATTGAGTGTCCTTGTTGACAAGCATGTTCTGCCACTGCCGACAGTTGTGTTTGAGATAATTTAATATTTCTCTGATGTTCTTTTAGTCTTACGCTGATGTTACGTCCCGTCTGCCCAATGTAGCAGCTGCCACATGAACAATTAATCCGATATACACCTTCTGTTGATAGTTTAGGTAATGCATCTTTAGTGCAAGATACTAGTTTTTGAATTTTGTGTACTGTACCAAATCTTACTGTAATGTTTTGCTTTTGCAAAACACGGGCTAATTTGTCAGTTATTCCTGAGATATATATATAAATAAACGCGATCTAACCCAAAAACCTTTATTATGAATAATATTGGTCGCGAAAGCCTACGTGTTAAAGAGACATATAGTCTATTGAAAACGAGAGCTGTGGTGCCTCACATTGGTTTAGCTTGTGAATTTCAACGTGCAATTTTAAGTAGTGAAAGTAATGCCAACGAGGTATCCGAAGGACAACGACGTGCACTGATGATTGCGTTATAACCTCAGGCTAAACTACCTTACCGTACCTGTCAACCCATACTGCCCCGTATTCTTGTACAGGGAAATAGAGTTTTCAGTTTCATACGGCGTACAGCCGTTTCAATACGGGCCACATGTTTTTTGTCTGTTTGTGTTTCTCCCTTGTGATGGGACTTTGTAGGATGAACGTTGAGATTTATAAGGGGCACGAGGAGACCAATAAGGTCTGAATTGGTCTGTGATAAGGTAGGGCACTGACAAGGGGTTGACAGGTATGCCTTACGTACTTTTCTGTGCACTTTATGATGAAAAGAGACCAAAGCCAACCAGGCAACAGAACAAAGGGGAGCCATTAAAAGAGTGCAGTGCACGACTAATTCCAGGAGAGCTGCTATATTAAGAGAGAAGAATGTAAAGTTTAATGAAAACAGAATATAGGTCTTTCATCATGCTAAATAAACACATGTTATTTTGTATGAATCGCTATAGAGTAGCTGCCAATACATGCAATTTAGGTGGCATTTTTGTTACGGATACTCCCAGGCAGTCTGCTAAAGCTAAATGACAAACCAAAATGTGCTGTTATCAACATCATGATATGTAAAGAGAAGAGGGTAATTGTTGCAGAATGTCAAAGCATAATAACGGCTTGGTTCGAACACAGTTCATTTTCTCCAACCATGTTCATTAGTCTAATTAAAAGTGCCTTAATCTTATGGTTTCGGCCCAGCCTAATATTCATGTTGTGACCTACAGCATCCACCCCTGAGCAGGTGCATGACATTCAGCACATATTTAGTCATTAAAATAGTACAATTACCATTGTAGTATGCGGGACTCATTACTGTGTCATTGCATCTTTTCACATACATTCTAGCCTATCCCTAGAGAGTTTAGGTTCTATTTCACATGTAAAAAATTGCTAATTATTTAATAAATGTCTTGTTCGTTTATGTACGGCTTCAATGACGTCCAATATTCCAACCACCGGAATTATTTTTTGAAAGAAACAAATATCCTGCAACGCCGCAAACATTTGTTCTAAAACACAATTTCACATTTTCAAACGCTATATGATTTAAACGATGGACTGTACTACATTTGCACCATGCGCACACCACATTCGCCACAGCACTTTCAACAAACACAACTGCAGACTACGGCTTACGTGAGACTCCACAGCTAGGTAAATAAGGTAGTCCCATTGGGAACTGCAATGTCGTTTGAAACTATAAAGTGTTCAATATGTTAAAAGAATGATCCAATGTTTTTGGGGCGAACTCGCCTTCCCCCGCCTGCCCCCCCCCCCCCCATCTCTATCAGGTCAATGGAAATTAAATTGCGCAAGACGGCGGGAGCTCAATCAAGATGAGAGCCACATCCATCTTCATTGCGAGGCCGCTGCGCAGTGCTCCAAGCCCAAAGTCCCAACATCGCTCCAGTGCCGATAAACATCAGGGAAATGGAGCTCCGCGTGGGGACTCGGCCAGGAAGAAGGATTGCCATCGATTCCCGCTGCTCCCTAAAGACGTCGCGGGCACAGTCTGCCTGCAGATTGATTGATCACAAAAGGTCTACTCGTCATGTAGCCTTAATTACCTCTGATTTTAATAATAATAATAATACGGCTTGTAAGTATATATGTATGTTGAACTTCTTTCGCACCGAACGTAGCTAACCGTGCTAATCGAAGGTGCGGGCTTCACGCTCCCAAGGACTCACATGTGCCTGTCGAGTGCCGGGTTCAATGCGGTCGCACAGCGTGAGCTGGAATTTCAAAACATTTGCAGAAAAAAAAACAACACGAGCGCATACGCTTAAATCTAGGCTTAGTTGTGCAGGAACGATAAATAAAACTCTTGACTGTTGTATTGCTTCATAGAAAAAAATAACGTACGCCGAAACAAGCAAGCTGTGGTTAATTGTATTTCTTTTCCCCCATTATACATCTGCATTAAAGGTGCAGCATTGCGAGGGCAGTGTTTTGAAGTTATTTTTAGGAGGCGACAAAATATCGAAGAAAATTACTTAAGGAAAAAAAATTACCTTCTACTTTGGTAGTGTGCACAAAATATGCAATGCAGTAGTTTCAAGCCGGAGTAGGTGTATTCCTATTGGTCAGTGCGTCTCAGCTGCTTCAGGCCTTGGGGAGCTGAATACAGCCCGTCCTTCATCATCAGTCAATACATCCCATTACATTATAAATTGCATGTGCATAATGATTATTAAATATTCATGACAATCATTAAGTGCATAAAAAATATATACTAACTTGAAATGTCTGTATTCACATTTCAATTTGAAGAATGAAAAAAATGTCAATATTATTTGTGCTTGATAACTCGTTCACGCAATTATCATAATCATGAAAGGACGCGTGGTTGTTTGGCCCATGGCTCGAACCTGCCCATGATGAGACTGGGATGGTACATTAAAACCAAGCAATGTTGCTCATAAATTATCATGTCTAAGCACAATTGGTTCGAAGGACATGGCAAAAATGGATATCCCTACTCCTTTCAAGTGACCATTAGCCTACTTTTCAAGACCGACTACAGAGGCGTGAATATATGGAAGGGTTTCTGCTAGACGGAGCACTAGACAGCACCTCGAGGGTATTTTGGCCTACTCTTCCACGGTGGTCAGACGAAGTGGGAGTACCCACTCACATCTGTTGATCTACTAACCATGGTGTACCATAATATAGGTTCTTTTGGGTAAGATCGCGTAAATATCAATGTGTCCTAAACCCGCTACCACCAGACACAACCAACGAGTAAGATTTGTCACGTAAACTGAACATGCCAATTCGTTACTAGTACAGCACACCGGTGTGTTGAGAGCAAATCCACAACATTTACACTCTTGAGTATGACGTTTCGCCAGTGGGTATAACCATACTTTACCCCACCACAATCTGGACCACAGTAGGTAACGTGTAAATGTTATGCCTTGTGCATTTGGCCTTCTTGTGATCTATCCCAGGCCTCCCTTGAAACATCTCACGCGCTCCCCTCACCTTATTCGAAATCAAAGTCACCTTTTTTTGTACCGTTTGTTATTGTAACCTTCTGACCTGCCCCCACTGGACATCTGTGAAAAAGAGCTTCATAACGCATAGCATTTACACAGAACAAATAAAGATTCTGACTCTGCCTGGATTGAGTGCAGCGTAAGGGCACCCACCATGATCACCAGCATGACTAGCACCGCGCTACCTAACAGGGACGGCTTTGGGAGTAGTGCTCAGGCCGTACATAAATAAAGATTCCGATTCTGCCATAATAGATGTGAGCGCAGCGTAAAGGCACCACCACCACCCCAGTTACCTGACAGGGATGGCTTTGGGAGTCGCACTCAGGCCGTCCAGGTGGCTCTTTGGCCGGTAGTCGCCGTGCCGCGGGAACGTGTCCGTGCCGCTGTCGAACTCGTGCTGCGACGGCGCTTGCGAAACCCCGACAACCGCCGCCGCCGCCGCCGCAGCCGCAGCCGCGCCGTCGCCCGCCCGCACCGCCCCCTCGGGCAGCAAGTTGTGCGAGAACTTGGGGCTGTCGAACCTGCGCTGGAACGGCCTCGCCGCTCCCGTGTAGCCGCCCCCGGAGGGGAAACGGGCGGCGAACGGCGGCGCGAACGCCCTCGCGGGGTTACCGCTGCTACCGCCGTTGCTGCTGCTGCTGCCGCCGCTGCTGCTGTTGTTGTTGCTGGTGGCCGTCACGGCGTACGTGGTGGTGCAGGCGCCGCCGTTCGCCGCCAACACCTTGCCATACGCGGTCGCAGGGGGCGCGTAATGGCTGTCGTTGCTTTGCGACGATTGTGCGCGAGCCGTGGCCGGCGGCTGGTAGGGGACGTTGCCGCTGTTGGGCAAAGCGGCCTGGGGAAAAGCGTAGGTTCTGTGCGAGGCGTAGCTTGACTGCAGCGCGTCCTCCCTGGAGGTTTGGCGGTACGGGCCCTGGTGACTGGTCTGGGGGGCTTCCTCTTGCCTGGATGTGGGGGCTTGCTGCTCCCTGGGAGACATTCCTGAAAATAATTGCATTGTTGTGTGTAATTTAAGGCCATTCGGAGAGCACAGCATTCCGTTTTTGCAAGGGCATTACATTTTAGGCTGAACAATGTTACGTGCAGAATGGATCAATCGGGGTACTATCAAAATGTTAACTTTGAGACAATATCCACACTTGCATACATATACACACACAGACATATGACATGTATTCTTGTCTGTTTCATATATTAGTACAAGTGGCCCTATATCTGTTTCATGTTTGTCTAATTTCATTTGTAACTCCACTGTGATAAGTCAGAAATTAATGTGCCTGAGAAAACTTACGCGAGCGATTTTATCATTTAACATCGATTTACATTTGTGATTTAAATTTGTCATGTGACAGAGTTTTAAAAAATATATAATTTGCAATTTGCTTCATTGCTGTAATTTCTTGTATTCATTTTGCTGTTGCCATTTTGGTGACCCAGGACACCCCCTAGCAAATGACTCATCCTGCTCTCTTGAGTTCTCATCTGGTTAAACAAAATAAACTTGACCTTGACAAACATCTCCCTTTAAGAATGCACTCACTGTCTGGGAAGTCAAGTTAGTGAGCATCTATGAAGGCGAGCATGTACGCACGTATGTTAGCATGTTGAACTCCTTTCGCATTGTACATAGCAAACCGTGCTAATTTGAGGTGCGGGTGAAGGACAACGAACTAAAAACACAAAAGCAGCTCTAAATAAATGCGTTTTGAATCTAGATTTAAAAGAGCACGACAATGAAGAGGATGCTGTGAATGGTGCTACGGTACTATTCACGCTACACCGCTACCGTCTCATGAGTGTCGATGGTAACACATCGCACGAGGTATCGTTTAGAATCCAAAAAATTAATTACATATATTCCACATGTTTAAAACATCCAAGATCATTTTTTTTAAACGCCACAATGCGCTGTCCTCCAGACAGTCTCGTCCCTTCACCTGATGAAGGCCGCTTGTGTTGTGGCCGAAACGTCGTGATTTTTTGTTATTTTATTTTCACCTACGTGACTTTACCCAATAGAACCAACGAGTATGGATCCTAGCAGTCACGAAAGCTTTAAATCTAGAATAGAAGCTTTAAATAACCAGTTGGGGTGCAAGTATAACAAAAAACACAGTCCAACTGGAATTACGTTTGATAAGAAAGTATGCCTCACACCCTCGTGTCCTCCCGATGCATTGTCAATCACGAGTTTTCTTGTTAAAATTCTTGGCCGACAGTTCAAGGATACAAAGATAACGAATACTTCAATCGAACAATATTACGTAAATTCTAAAGGTACCTGGATGAGAGTTCTTTTTTGATATGCTGGAATTATTAATGATGTTATCTGTGCCAAGTTATTAATTCAGGAACTATTCCTAGTCTCACATGGTGAACGCATTGTTATTCATAACTATTTGTGAAAGGAGATGAGGTAGTATGTAGGATATTGAGGACTTCACAAATGGATGAAAATCTAACTTCCAGGTGTAATCAAAATTCACCATTGTAAACTCATGATACATGTGCAGAAATAAATTACCTTAAACCTTTTTTCAGCATTGGTGAATGTAATCTGAAGACAGTGTAATTGCTGTTGGTGAAAAAGTATATAATGATCTACATGAGCTGCATTACTGAAAGTGGTTTTACTCAATTACTTATTTCACACAAAAAAATTCTAAAGTGAAAGTCAAAGTGTCACCAAACTCATTAAAACAGTTGGAACTGTTCATCTCCATTGGCAACCATAAACCAGAGCGGAAATTCCACATTCCTACTGCCAGGACCTATCTCTCCTTAACAACGGTCACAGCTTACTTACTGTACTCATTGAATTGACTCTTGAGTGATTGAAGTAATTTTGTGCTCAAAAGAGCATTGACGTAGTCAGCATGAAGGTAGTGCTCATTTACCATTCATAGTCCCGAGCCAGTGGTGGTATTTCCTGAGACCTACGACAGGGACGAGTCTCTCAAAAGGATAACTGCTGTTGACTTCCCCAATAAAGTGGTACTTATTTTATGGACCCGAGGGGGATGATGAGCCGAGTCAAACGTCACAAACAGGAATTTAACTCACAATCTGCCACAACGCTACATTGCCTTTGGCCTCATATCTAAGTACAGTAATGGATACTCTTGGTGCATATGAAATCGAGATTATTATCTTTTGCGCATGTACATATATAGCTTGTTCACGGTTTAATGTAAAGCACACTGTTGTGCACGGCAAGAGGAAACCACCTGAACTCTCCTTCCCCAGTTAGGGTTCAGGAAGCCTCATACAAAGTACGGTGTTGTAAGGCGAAGAGAACAGAGAGAGGTGGGACCTGCTCTTGGATAGAGCACTTCAGAGGAAGTCAAACATTTGCCAAGGGATTTCAGACACTACATAATCACTGAAAACGTCGTGGTTACTTCACAGCCATATGACTTGACATTGTACCTGTGTAATGGTAGGAAGGAGGATTGGTCGTCTGTTGCGACACTTGATGCTGTCCAGACTGCCCCTGCTTTGCCTGAGCAGGTATCACGAAGAGTGTGGGCTGGCTTCCCGCTGCCCGCATTCCTGTGTTTTGAACCGAGCCACAGAATGGGACATCTGTCCTTTTCTCCGTTGCTTTTGGCCCCACGTCCTCACCAGGCAGGTCCACGGATTTACTCCTGAGTTTTCACATTTGAAAATAGGTACGTAATATTACAACGCGACGTACTTGATTGTACGATCACAACTTTGCAAACATTAGCACTTCTCTCTGCTTCTCAGCCCAGAATTTGCT